TCTACTGAAACCTTAATATTTGGGATTGTTGCTATGGATTCTTGATTCTGTTTGTAGTCTTTCTACTGTGACATTAAGATTGTGCTTGATCTTGCTTTGTTTTTGGAATTAACTGTGGTATAATTTGTCATTCATGTTGAGTTCTTGCTTGTGATTCAAGATTTGCAGTGTATCAAATTGTCTAAAAACATGGTTACCACTGCACAGTTGGCTCTTACACAATCTCCAATTTTCTCATTGATTCCGAGTGTGAGTAACACTGTTACGGTCAAACTTGATGACTTAAATTATGTTATTTGGAATTTCCAATTGGAATTGTTGTTAGAAGGCAATGGAATTCGTGGCTTTCTTGATGGATCTATTCCTTGTCCTGCACAATTTGCTAATTCTGATTCGGATAATGACAGAGTAGAAAATGAACAAATGTTAACTGATGTATATAAAGTTTGGAAGATTCATGATAAGGCTTTGATGGCACTCATCGCTGCCACTTTGTCCATTACGGCTTTGTCCAGTGTGATTGGTTACAAAAGCTTGAAAGAAATGTGGACTTGTCTTCATGAAAGGTTTGCCAATATGACTAGGACCAGTATTGTCTAGATGAAAATTGATCTTCAAAACATTAAGAAAGGATTTGAGAATATTGATGCATACTTGCAAAGAATAAAAAATGTTAACGATCAATTGGCTACAGTTGGAGTGTTCATATCTGATGAGGACATTGTTATTGTTGCATTGTGAGGTTTACCTCCTGAGTATAACACCATTAAAGCAATGATACGTGGTCGTGAGAATCTGGTCTCACTTAAAGAACTTCGATCATAACTGAGGGCTGAAGAATCTACACTAAATGAGACCACTAGGCAAATTCCTCTCATGTCTGCCATGCATGCTCGAACTATTGGCTCTACATTTGATGTTGGTGGTTCTTCAAGCGCAAACGCTTATGCTTCAAGATCTGATCTTGGTCAATCATCTAGACATGCATTGCCTTTCTCTGCACCTCCAGTTTTACAACAATTTGCTCAAATGCCATTCATACCTTAGTTTTCACAACTTCCATTTCCTGGACCTTAGACATTTGTCTTTCAATCTAGCTCAGGTACTTACAATAATTTTAGGGAGAACAACTTCAAATCCAAAGGAAAAGGGAAAAGATTTTTCTTTGGGAATCAGTCTCAATGTATTCAACAGCCACCTTATGATGCTAATCCATTCCCATAGTCCATATTTCAATCTTAAGGATCTCAGTCTTCTGAGAATCCTCAACAAGTGTGTCAAATATGTGATAGGAAATGTCATTTTGCACTCACTTGTTTTCAGCTTGGATGTCAAATCTGTCATCAGGTGGGGCACATTGCAGTTACTTGTTTTGATAGGAATTAAGGTGTCAATCCACTATTCCATCCATAGCAATACCAACAGTCCATTCAATCTCATCCACAACAATACCAACAGTCAATGCAATCTCAAGTTCCACATACAGGCCTAGCTAATGTTTCATACAATTCAGTACCTGCAATGCCTTCTCAGTACTTGTCTTATACTGGCAGTTCTTCAAACAACTCTCACATTACCATGAATGCTCGGACTCAAGCATCCCCTTTTGCACCCTAACAGGAGTATTGGCTACTTGACTCGAGGGCAACCAATCATATGACCAGTGATCTGTTTAATCTTCATATTGCAGCTCCTTATCCTACTACTGATACTGTCACTGGTGCAAATGATGAAGGTTTAACAATTGCTAATTTTGGCAATACTAATATTCAAACTAAGTCTCATAATTTTTAATTGAATTATGTTCTACATGTGCCTCAATTGTCTCAATATTTGCTATCTATGCATCAGTTGTGTAAAGATAACAATTGTAGATGCATTGTTGATGAGTTTTCTGTTTGTGTACAGGATAAGGTCACCAAGAGAACATTATTCCACGGACTGAGTAACAATGCAATTTACCTTATTCCTATGTTCAAATCCTCAACAGGTCTTCCAGCAGCATTTCTTGGACAAAAAGTTAGCTCAACTCTTTGGCACTGTAGATTGGGCCACCTTGCCAATAATATTGTGCAAACTGCCCTTAGTAAGTCATCTATTCCATTTCCTAGTACACTACATCCTCATACTTGTATTCCTTGCATAAAGGGCAAATTCACAAAATTACCATTTCTTGTAAATGTGTCTAAATCCTCAACTCTTTTTAAGGTGATTCACACATATGTATAGGGGTCTACTCTTGCAATGTCTTTAGAAGGATTCAAGTATTATGTCTCATTGATAGATGAATGTACTAGGTATGCATGGATATTTCCTCTTATCAATAAAGCTGCTGTTTTTTGGACTATTTGTTCAGTTTCAAGCCTATATAGTCAATTCTTTTGATAAGCATATTAAAATCTTGCAAAGTGATGGTGGTGGAGAGTACACTAGTACCCAATTTCAATATTTTCTTGAATACAAAGGCATATTTCATTAGCCTTCCTTCCCATACACACCTGAGCAAAATTGCTTAGCTGAAAGAAAGAATAGGCATGTCATTGAGACAACTATTACTCTTATTCAGCAAGCTTCCTTGTCAAATCTGTTTTGGTATCATGCATGTGCTACTGCGACATAGGTTATAAATAAGATGCCAACACCTATTATTCACATGAAATCACCATTTGAAGTGTTGTTTCACTCTCCACCTCGATTAAATCAGTTAAGAGTGTTTGGTTGTGCATGTTATCCTTCTCTGAAACCTTATAGAACCACTAAGCTTGATCCTAAAACAACACAATGTATTTTCTTGGGTTATGCTGCCCAGTACAAAGGCTATATTTGTTTTGATGTTTCTAAACACAAGTTGATTATGTCCAGACATGTATTGTTTGATGAAACACAATATCCTACATTGCCTCACATATTAGTCAAGAAAGCTTTTTCATTTCACCATTCTACTTCATCACAATAGCTTGTTCATTCCAATATTTTCCAGTCTCCAATTATACCTATTCCCTTGCCCCATGTCTTTCAACCACCTACTGCATCACCTCAAGTTACTCAATCTAGTTCTCTCTCACATGGTGATCTTGTCTCCACATCTCCTACATCAGCAATCCATTGTACTTCAGAGTCTTCTTCTATATTAGAGTTACACCTATACATCACTACATCTCAGGTTCCAAATTTACAACCTGTGATCATTACTTCTCAGAATTGTCATCTGATGCAAACAAAGTCCAGGTCTGGTATTTTTAAAAAGAAACAAGTTCTCAGTGCTACAACTTAGTCCTCCATTGGTACATAACGAACTTCATTAACTGCAACTTCGAAATCAGTTGAGTGGAACCAGGCCATGAAAGAGGAAATGGATGCCTTACTTCAACAAAAGACTTGGTCTCTTGTTCCTCTACCTCCAAATAAAAATCTAGTAGGTTGCAAATGGATATATAAGATCAAGAGACATCACAATGGTTCAATTGCTAGGTATAAGGCGCAGTTAGTGGCCAAGGGTTTTTCACGAGAAGCAGGCCTAAACTATTATGAGACCTTCAGTCATGTGGTTAAACCAACTACAGTACGTTTGATGTTATCTTTGGCAGCTACTAAAGGTTGGAAGTTGAAGCAACTTGATGTAAAAAATGCTTTTTAACATGGCTTCCTTGAAGAGGAAGTGTATATGTCTCAACATCAGGGTTTTGTTGATGCTAATTATCCTGAGTATGTGTGCAAGTTAACAAGATCTAAGGTCTTAAACAAGCTCCACGAGCTTGGAATGACAAGCTTACCTCTTTTTTAGTTTCTCTGGGATTTAAGGCTTCTTATGTAGATCCTTCTCCATTTGTAAAGCATGATGGTCTTCATATGGTTGTGTTATTGTTATATGTGGATGATATTATACTCACTGGTGATCATGAGGCTAGTGTCTAATTTGTGATTCAGCAATTGACCAAGGAATTGGATATGAAAAACTTAGGCCTTCTGAATTATTTTCTCGGTCTGCAAATTGAATATCATCCACAAGGGATGTTTGTTCATCAGTCTAAATATATGCTAGACTTGTTGTAGAAGACGCATATGGTTCAGTGCAAGCCTTGCATTACTCCCTGTCACCCGAATAAAAAATTGCTCACTCATGGCAGTTCTCTATATGCTAATCCAACACATTGCAAGAGCATTTTTGGAGCTTTACAATATCTCACATTCACCAGACCAGACATTGCATATTTAGTTAATCAGGTTTGCCAATTCATGCACACACCATTGGAGTCTCATTTTGTTGTTGTCAAAAGGATTTTAAGATATCTCAAGGGAACTATGAATTGGGGGCGTTTGTTTTAGACCTAGAGATTTAGATATTCAATATACACCGATGCAGATTGGGCGGGTGATCCCAATGATCGACGTTCTACAACTGGTTTTGTGGTGTTTCTTGGTTCATTTCTTGGAGTTCCAAGAAACAACACATAGTCGGTCGCTCTTCTACTGAAGCAGAATATAGGGCTATGACCACTACCATTGCTGAGATTGTCTGGATTCAATAGTTACTCAAGGATTTGTATATTTCCAGTTCTGTTTCTCCTATGTTGCATTATGATAATCTCTCAGCTATGGCATTGGCAACAAATCTGGTTCTTCACTCCAAGGCCAAACATATTGAAGTAGATTGTCACTTTGTTAGAGAACGAGTTCAACAAGGCCATATTTCTCTTCAGTTTGTATCCTCCACTGATCAGTATGCAGATATCTTTCTTTACCAAGGGATTATGCTCTCCTTCTTTTAGTCACTATTGCTCCAATCTTATGCTTGGGGCTTCCCACCATAAGATTGAGGGGGAATGTTAGAATATAAGGATATTTGTATCTTGTCATTTGTGTTATGTAAATGGTGTCACGTGTATTGATATTAGTGGAGGAGGAAGTTACGAGAGTATATAAGTATAAATAGTATGAGTGCCTTGTAATAGTATAGTTAGCAGAAATAGAAATTCAGTTGAAAAGTATTCTACTCTCTCTAAAACCTCTTCGACCTCTCTCTCTCTCTGGCTTCATAGCTAAGTTTCTACGTTCTTCAGAATGTTGACAACTATGAGATTCTCCACTTCTCCTAAAGTAGCTTTGGAATTGAAATACAATCCAAACATGCGTCTAGACAAAGCAAGTCATTTATCTTATTACGAGATTTTCCACTTTTCCTGAAGTAGCTTTTGGAATTGAAAAGCAATCCAAACATGCGTCTAGACAAGGCAGACTTTGATTTAATACTTTGATCATATGAGAGAGTGTGTTTCATCCGTAATGTAGTTGCTAGTTGCAAGTTCACAGCAAAACCTAGCGACCCAGTTTCAGCTACGGTCGCCGCCGCATCCGCCGCCGCCATCAGCACAAAAACTATGTTTTCAGCGGCGCGTATCCTCCTACCGGTGTCACTGTCAGTGCTGGTCTTAATTTATAAGTACTTCAGATCCGGACGGGAATCGGAACCTTCTGAAGGTGTCGATCCTGAAATCCTTCATTGGATTCGGACACTCGACCCCGCCGTGCTCAATAGGATTAGGAATGGCGACCCTGCCCTCCTCGAAGTGATTCGGAACTTGGACCCTGCTTTCCCTTCGGAATTTTCTGGAAGCGTCGACGGTCCTCTAAATCCGCCGTCTGTTCCGTCTCCTGCGCCGGGAAGTTCAGAAAATAGAAGTGGGTCTAACCTCACCTTAGCTGCCTCTTCCGCTGCTCAAAGTCAAGTATCTGCGTCAAAAGGCCTCCAGAAAAAGAAAAGTCTGGTAAAGGCTGGACATTATCAGAAAAAAGAGTCATCTATCCCACAACCCAGGCATGGAGATAATACCGGAGTGCGTAAGGAACAGGAGATAAAGCAAGAATCTATTTCTTTGTCTGCTGAAGCAGCTGCAGCTCAGGAAGCATGTGAAAATTGGCGACTAAGGTCAGGACTTATAATCATCTTTGTCTATGCTTAAAACTCATTGTTTGATGTCCCTTTTAGTTATATTTGGACCTCTGAGTGGAGTAATATAGCCCTGTGCTTAAGATAGCTTCTTTTTGTTGAATTTGATACATCTCCAGGGGAAACCAAGCGTACAAAAATGGGGATATGTCTAAAGCTGAGGACTGCTACACACAAGGAGTGAATTGCGTTTCTACAAATGTGACATCTAGAAGCTCTCTTAGGGCATTGATGCTGTGCTATAGCAACCGTGCAGCAACACGTATGGCTCTTGGAAGAATAAGAGATGCACTTGGGGACTGTATGATGGCTACTGCAATTGATCCCAACTTCCTCAAAGTGCAGGTTAGAGCTTCCAAGTAAGTATTTGCTCTTTACTATTTGATATTTTCTTTTGACTCTCCAGTATGAACCTCTGCACTATGCAGCTTCTTTTTTTGTTGATCTCAATTTCCGACATAAAATAGGATGAGTTGTGCAAACATTTCTTGATATCTAGAGCGTTTTTACTTTAGACCATGAAGTTTTGGAATTTGCAACCCAACCACCTGAAAGTTATATATAGTTGGATATATATTTATAACAAAAGTCAAATGATGGACTTAAAATTTTAAAATTTTGCTATAATTCTTGTTCAATTTTAATACAATTGATTGTTAGACTTTTGCTACTTACCATTACTTGTACAATATTGTGCAGTTGTTCTTGGATCGTTTGGTTCTAAATAAGATATTTTACTGGCACTCAAATTTCTACTTCTCATAATTTTCATATGCTGTTCTGCTGGTCTTTGATTAGGCATTTCCTATTGAATATGCTTTGTCGCTTTGATTTTTGAGTTCCGGCATAGAATATTTCAGTCATAAATTGCTTTTCTTTTCACATAACATTACCTTCCCTAATTGTATTTCTTTTTAAAATTCTTAAAGATGTTATCTTGCTCTTGGGGAAGTTGAAGATGCTTCACAACATTTTAGGAGGTGCCTGCAATTAGCAAATGATATCTGTTTGGACCGAAAGATTGCAAAAGAAGCTTCTGATGGCTTACAAAAAGCACAGGTAGTGTAATTAATTAAAAACCCGATCTTACTGCTTTCCATGAGATTCACCTGATGGCTTACAAAAAGCACAGGTAGTGTAATTAATTAAAAACCCGATCTTACTGCTTTCCATGGGATTCACCATAGTCTACATTTAACATTCACTTATAAATGTACATGAAATTGGTTAATACAATACTCATCTGAACCCTGATAATGCTGAAACTTTTTCTCATTTTCTTAAAAACAGTTTAAGTTGCACACCACATAGTTTGTAGGGTGATTGAGCCAAGAAGAAATAAGGAATTTTCTGATTGTAAAACCCCTATTTTGGCTTGTAATGGGAAAAGACAGGAGAAAAAAGGGATCAAAGTTGGAATGTTGATCTGTTTGGGGTTTTAACTTATATTTAATTTCTTTCTTTACATCTTGAATATATTATTTCGTCTGAAGGCATTGCAGATTTCAAATGTGCTCATAATTATTGTTGCTCATGTTTGATACTTGATTATATGGGAGGTTGTGAAATTTTAGTCAGGAATTCTTATAACTTGGTTGTAGAAGTAAAACCCTGTGGCATAGTTCAGATGAACTATACTTTCAAGTTGGTATCGATTGAGGATGGCCAGGGATGTCTCACAAATGTATTTGCAAAGGCTATTGTTGAGTAAGGATTTGGTATTGTTGGTCGACATGAATTTAAATTTGGTCTGAGTTTCTTTTGGATTAGAATGAGTTATTGTGTTGTTGTTTTGCTGTTGTGAACAGTGATGAGAAGGCGAAGGGGAGTATTTTAGTGGACTTTAGTGGGTTATAAACAAGTTATCGTAATGAAATTTTGGGAATTTTAAATAACCATTCTGCATCAGACCAATAAATTTTTATTATAAAGCATATATCTATAATTAGTTTGAGAGATATAGGATCAAAGCAGTGTGAGCTTGAAGGTTGAACTATAGTATTACATGTACTCTCCTAAACCTCAAATTCAAAAGCAAAGGTCTTTTATTTGTATATCTCCTCACTTGGTGCATTTTGTGTATATCTGAGGAGGAGATTACGGATCATGTTTTCTCCATTGCTCTTGTTCTGCACAGTAGTGATGGAAATTGTGTAAGGGAGTTAGACCTAGTTGGGTTATTCCAAATTGTTGTTTTGAGCTTCTAAGTACCAAGTTTGAGGCTTTAGGATGGGGGAGGAAAGCTAAATTTTTGTGGGTTTGCTTTTGTGCTGGCAGTTTTTTGGAATATTTGGGTGGAGTGTAATAGAATAATTTTAAAGAATACAAGGGTGTGGGACTAGACGAATTATGATGTAGTTAGATACATGGCAGCTCCACTATTCGCGCATCAGTTTCGAATAAGGATGGATGCATTTGCCGCTGTGAAGTGAATTTAGGTTTCAAGTCTTAAGGTTTTTGTATCTTAATTTGAGAGGTCTGGTTCTGTACTATAAGTTCGATTTTGGATTATGGGTAGCTTATCTAATTTTTGGAACTGGTTCTGTTTTTAATCAAAGTTAGTCTTCCTCAAAAGAAAAAGAAAAAACAAGAAGAATAGCAAGCGAGTACCACCATGTAATATCAAATTTATAATAATTTCCAAGTCCGCTTTTAAAGATTATTTCACATTCTAGCAAAAGTGTATCCTATCCCATGTTACTGTGGGAACGGGTGTAGATGAAATGTGGGACCAAGTTAGATAATGGGCAGCTCTTTGGACTTTAGTTTCAAATGTGTAGGGATTATTTTCACTCTTCTATAATAATGGATGTGTTAGCACCAGTGAAAATGAATTTATATTTTAAGTTTTGATTTATGTAATATTATAACTTAGCTCTTTTTAAGAGGTCTTTTTTTATACTTCAGGTTAAGATATACATTTTTCTTTTAGTATTTTTTGGCCAATAACAGTTTTATATTGCTTACATGTACGCACGTACCAAGTTTTTGCATGTAATGGGGATCGCTTGGGGATCCCTATCCGCATTGTATTTAATGATCTGAAATATCTATATTATGTCTCAATTGGATCATCCCTGCAAAACATCAATCAATCTTAAGCCATTGTTTTAACCATTGGATTTTTACGGAGAAATGTTTGTATACAAACTGATTTGGGGTTTTAATTGCTGGCAGGAAGTGTCTGAATGCCTGAATCATTGTGCTGAACTTTTGCCATGGAAAACATCTACGAATGCCGAGCGTGCTATACAACTTATTGATGAAGGTTTGGTAATAAGTCCTAGCTCAGAAAAATTACTTGAAATGAAAGCAGAGGCTCTTTTTGCGGTTAGTGATTTATTTAATTATGTTTTTTTTATTGGTTTTTGCTACCATGATTTTCAGTCAGTTGTGGTTTGACTTCTGTATTCCCTAGCAGGTGCGGAGGTATGAAGAGGTGATTGAGCTGTGTGCGCAGACCCTGAGTTCTGTGGAAAAGAACAACCTTCCAGCAGATGACCAGGTCTCTGCAGATAATTCCGAACTCTCAAAGTACTTTTACTTCAGACTCTGGCGGTGCCGTATGATTTTTAAATCCTATTTTTATCTTGGAAAACTAGAGGAGGGTCTTGCTACACTAGATAAACATGAGGAAAAGATGTCTACCTCATATAGGTAACTTTTAGACACGATTTTAGATGTTAAATTGTGTTAAAGGTTTGCTTTTGTTGCTTGAGGTGCCTAACACTATGCGAATGTCCAGGAATCGGAGAACAACTCTGCAATCATCAGAACCCCTTGTTCTCGTTGTACGTAAACTTCTGTCTCATAAGGTATGCTCAGTCTGTGCTGTGTTTCTTGACTTGTACAATCCTCTCTAGGTGCACATGTAATATCACAATTAGAAATATTTGAACTCATACTTCATCCCATATTAAAGAAAGTTGGGTAGGATCCTCTTCAGCTGTCTTGCCGACATGTAATTACAAATAAAGATATGAAGTATTTTCAAAACTAGATAGGACTTTCTTAACCATGTCATTTTCCTCCTATAGACAAATAGTGCATTGTTACTTAAAAGGCCTATTATCAAACCTCATTGGTTATCCTGGTGGAACTTTCTCATATGTTAGCACTTGCTATGATGTCTGCCTAAAGGTTTTTTAATTTTTTGTTCTTGAGATATATAGTAGTTTCTAGTCATTCGATTGCAGATACATTTACAAACCAAACGCTTTCTCGAACAATATTTCCTTTTTCAAGTGGTATCAGGGTAAAAGAAGGTTGTACTTTAGTTTATGCTTGGCATTCTTTAGTGTCTACTAGTTTGTTTTTCCGATATTTGATGTGTTTAATTTGGAGAAGTGTTATTGGCACTCCACAAAGGTCATCCTTTACTCCTCCCTTATAAAAAGGGAAAGACTTATTTGGAGTGTCAATAACAGCTCCCTTAATTTATTCATCATTAACAGTTTAATTGAAAAATATATGCTCTACTGCATATACATGCTGCTTATATAGTGACTTTCTTCTTTGTTATTGTACATCATAGGTTGCAGGGAATGAATCATTTCAGGCTGGAAGACATACTGAAGCTGTTGAGCATTATACTACTGCTTTGTGCTGCAATGTTGAATCACGTCCATTTACAGCTGTTTGTTTTTGCAATCGTGCTGCTGCATACAAAGCATTGGGCCGGATTACTGATGCTATTGCTGATTGCAGTTTAGCTATAGCTCTTGATGGAAATTATCTAAAGGTTTGTTCAAAGCTGAAGTTTTCTTAATGATTCTTTGATATGGCATTGCTCATGATTTTACGTATTCATTACTTTTTTTCTTTGGTAAAAGGACGGGCTGGTTTTATATCTCTGTTTGATTGATATCAGAGATATACAAACTAGTAGTCTTGTTAGCTCATTAAGGGGGCGTTTGATTGACCGGACTAGGGCTGGATTATGACTTCTCTATGTGGGCTTATTTTAGGCTATTTAAAATGTGGAGCCTAAATAGAACCAACCAAGCCAATCCTTGCAATTAGTCTAGGACAAGCCATCAAATGTGCCCCAAGTGTATTAGTACCTCTAATCAATTTGTATTTTCTTAGTGACACAGCTTTCCACCTGTTTTTGGGGAGCATTTGGAATATGTGTGTTGTGATACTTATTTGTGTGTTTATGCGGTTTCTTCCTGTGGAAATGCAATAAATGGATCTTGTCTAACACATTAATTTTCGAGGAAGTCTTAAAACATTTAATTCCTTTCTATTTCAATTGCAATGCACAAACATCTAAGTTTCCAAGAATGTCATGTTTTAATTTCAGATTGCAGTCTCCTGAACTTCTCAAATTTGTGGTCAAATTTTTATTAAGATATTCAAGAATTTTACTTTTGGGTTAACCCTTGAGAATTTAAGATATATTAGATACGAGTATTTGGCTCCACTTAGAAGGTCTTCCCAGGATAAAAGATTAAAATGAAGGAATTTTCAGTCAGTTCAGTTTTGACACCATTTTCGACATCCATTATAATTTTTAATTTCTAACTAATAATTTCTCCCATATCTTTTGGTTTGTGGTTTATATCAATCTCAAAGTGCAGCTTCTCCAGGGTTAGATTTTATATATAGACTTTAGAAATCTGGTGTGCTTTGCTCAGGTTTCCTCATGTATTGCGTTATGTTATACTGTAGCATGAATATCAGTTTCCAATCTCCAATGAACAACGGATAGATGTGTAGAACATACCCTTACACGTGCTTCACAGGCAATATATTTACACATTTAGAATGGATGTGACCACTGAAATGCTCCTTGGTGATTAATTTTTTGTAAGGATATGGAATTGTTATGAACTGTTTGCATGGGATAAAGTAATCAGGAAACGTTGACTTAGGCATATGGATTAGAATTGTTTGCCTCCCACATTTGTGATGCCAACGGGCTAGACAGGAAAAGAGTGACCTGAACTTTCAGAATGTTGTACAAGATGTTGGCAGTGTTGTCAAATACTGTATGGTTTGAACTTATTGGTCCTTATGAACCTTTTGTATTTAAGCCTCTTGAGTTATAAGTGGTTGCTTGTCTACGAACGTTTAAAATTTGAAGTCTATGGGTCGATTATGTTGGGGATGGAAGAAGACTACACTAATACAATGAAGTTGTCATTCCTCTAGTAGGTGGCGCTTTACCGCTTTCACAATTGCCTTTCCTGTGGCATATTGAATTTCAGAACAATAATTTTCTTTGATTTGGTCCTCCTGTATGTTATGTCAGTTCCTGTTTTCTTTTATACTTTTGGCAGGCTATTTCTGGAAGAGCCTCATTATACAAGATGATCAGATATTATGGAGAAGCCGCTAAAGATCTTCGGAGACTGGTATCTATTCTCACTAAGCAGGAAGAGGAAAAAATTTATCTGTGTAGAACATCTGACAGATCCATTAGCGGCACAAATGTCCTGACACAAGCTCGTCTTCATCTTTCTAAAATAGAAGAAAAGGACAGAAAGGACATCCCCTTGGATATGTACCTTATTCTGTAAGTTTATCTGCACCTATATTTGTTTCTGGCGTATGGTTGCAAACTGGCCCCTCTAGGACGTTTACACGAATGCTGCTGGACTATACGGTTAAATAATTGTTGAGGCTGAGTTGTTATACATTCATGTGGGTGTACTGAGTAATTAACTGTAGATGTTGAGGCTGAGGCTGAGGAAACCAATTTTCTAAATTATGGGTGGTTCATTGACTTCCATCTTGTTCACAATAGTTAAAGTATCCTTCTGTTGGTTTAATTGCCAAGCATAAAAAACTTCTCCAGATGGTAATTTAAGCAATTGAAGAAACGAACAATAAAAGCTGGCTTTACGGTGAAGTGTATGGGAAAGCCTATGTTAGAAGCAGGGAGAACACTGTCAGAGACTTGATCTCGAATTTGTGACTATCATGAATATTTAGACCGAGATCGTCAGCTTGACACTGAAGCTGCTTGCTGATAATTCCTTGGTATAATATAATTAATTATTTACAACAAGCTCTTTGGTAATGCTCCATGCTCTGGATTGTAGGCAGATAAGAATAGTCCATGGAATCTAAGAAATACTTACACATGCCGTTTATGATTCTCCTAGAAAAGGTGTAGCTTTTTAAGGCAGTTTAATTCCGAGTATAATTGATTGAAACTATCATTAAGTTAATTCGGTTATAATGGTAGGGGAGTTGAACCATCTGTTTCGGCATCAGAAATCAAGAAGGCCTATCTGAAAGCTGCACTTCGACATCATCCTGACAAGGTATGTAATATTTTATGATTTGTAGCTTGCTTACTGGTATTCACCGTCTAACATGTTCTTTTATAGGCTGGTCAATTCTTTTCAAGGAGCGATAATGGGTGTTGGAAGGAGATAGCAGAAGAAGTGCACAAGGATGCTGACAGGCTTTTTAAAATGATTGGGGAGGCATATGCAGTACTTTCAGACCCAACCAAGGTCTCAAAACTCTTCGCAATAATGCTTTCTTTTATTTTTATTTTTTTTCCGGTTATGTTTCAAATAAACAAGTCTTTGTGCAGCACCTTTTTGTTGAAAAAAGTTTCTACTTTTTTGTTCTTACTGCCATCATCCCTATTTGAGTTATCAGAGATCTTTTCCCCTTGGATATTGATATGCCATGGGTTTTAAACTTTTATCGGTAGAGACCAGTGAGATGTTTCATATTCTGGTCAATGATAATCTAGTGATTATTGTTTGGGTATTGTGTTTCACAAAATTGATGAAGAAAATGTTAAAATCCCAACTTTCTAAGAAATTGTGGTGTTTATTTTACTCATGTTGCAGCGTGCAAGGTATGGCACCGAAGAGGAGATGAGGAATGCACAAAAGAAACGCAGTGGAAGCAGCACATCTTGAATGCCAGCAGATGTTCAAAAGAAGTAGCAGTAGGCGACAATGGGGAGAGGTTCCGGGATCATATGGCAACTCATCTTCTAGAGGGTCAGAAGCAGCACGGTCAAGTAGATATTCTTGAAGACATGCCTGATTAGAACCTTGATTCTTCAGAAGAGGTTTTGAATGGAATGAGGTTGGAAGATGGATTTATTGCATTGCTATATGTGTAGCTTCACTTCAAGGATGAACCGACGTGCGGTTGATTCAGCTTGCATCTCAATGGTAGTGACCTCCCAAGTTTGAATGCATCCTGAATTTAAATAGTTTGTAAATAAGTTGTCTAACGGGCTTAACAAGGTTCAAAAGAGAGTTATGAATACTATTACTATTGGTAACAATAACATAAACAGCAGCGATGAATTACAAACTGAAGCTCAGATCATTGATGAATTGTCCGAGACGAGGAAGTAATGGGGGCTCAAAACAGCCAGAGTTAATTGCTCACAGTTGGGGCATAAAAGTACAGTTTTCCCATCTTAGTACTACATTTAGAAGAAAAAGAAACGAAAGCAATAAGATGAGAGATGGGAAGGGATTATGGTGGTGTCGTGGGGAGCATGAACAGGTTTTTGTGTAGGATTTTAAACTGCGTTTTTCTTGTTCTTCCCCTCCTAGCACTAATGAGATGTCTACAATTGCGAATATCATCATCCAAAGTCCAGAGGATGGATGCCTCAGTGCCAAGCCCGCTTGTCACCTCTGGGGTTCTCCTTATTCACGCTACATCCTGAGGGGTAAAAAACAAAAGCACGAGTGAATCAAGTTTATCTAGTTAAAATCATTTAAATATAATAAACCTCATTTTGAAATCACATATATAGTAAAAACTAGCCAAGTTCAAATCACACCGCTTGTCATATCAAAGAAAGTAATACTAATCATATAATCAGGGTAATTCAAAATGTATAGCAAGGACACCAAGAGCATGCATGTTAGAATCTCTGAGTTACTCAATGTAAAGCCCATACAAAACGATAGGAATAGTTACCTAGGATTGGTTCAAGCTAGACTCGAGGGCTACAAGCCACAAACTCGTCGGAGTTTGCCCAGAGAAGACCACAAGAAACTGGGCAAGGGTACAGAGAAAATGCAGGGGCTAAAACCTTGAGTCTCAGAGATTCCAAATATAAGATTTTGGGGTTGGATGTGTCAAGAACTCGAAGAGGAAGAAGGCAAGAAGCTCTCGGAACTTAGAGAGAGAGAATTTGAGAGTTAGAGAGATAGAGTGAAGCTGCAGAAATAGGAGGACGGCACGGTGTTGGGCGAAGTCCCACTCAAGACACTTAAGTGAAACTACAAATTGCCCTTCCTAAATTTCATCATTACAATTAAGCCCTCGAGTTTTGATTTGAATTTTATTTTTCGACTCAATATCAACCTACATGAATACAAAAACATAAGAAAGTACAAGACATGGGTCTACCAAAAAAGTACGTCCATTTATTTAATCTATTGTACTTCAACAATTCTTCGCTTCTTAACAAACTTATTCTCTTACGTCATTTTCTCATTTTGTAGGAATAATAATGCTCGAGAAATACGTTTGTTTATTTACCACAAAACAGTTAAGGCTACTAGCATTCTTTTTCCTGCTTGTCGTATCTTTTTCACCCAATGATACTCAATCGTTTATGATGGTCGTAAACACGACACACAAGTTCAGTTCACAGTTTGAGTAATTGTATTGTGATAAACTAGTCAATCAATTAATTTGCAAAGTAATATTTGTGCGAAATAATAAATGCTTAAACGATTGTTGAGATTTAAACGATTTATGGCAACTTGTAAGTTGTTTTTATCGTAGCAAATAAATACCAAATTTAGAAACTTTCGTATTTGATACCTCACATCAGCAAATACGTTGTTTAGGTAGTTTGAAAGGAAAATGTGTTTTTCATTTTACGAATGACTCGGACCTTTGCCTCTTTCCATATAAGTGTAGATATCCTTGCATCAAAGTTCAATTGCACCCAAGGGATCATTTTCTGAAATAAAATCAACAGTCACTAGTTCTTTCGACCATTATGGTCAAACTAAACATGTTTTCGATTGTGGGCATTTTGTTTTTGGCTAGTTGCTCACTTCTGACGTTGCCGCATTTGGATGACTCACTGGCCGTAGTTGACTGTAAAAACATTTTAGCATAAAGTATGCATCTGACGTGTACAACTATATTTTCAAATGGCGAAAAATTAGTGACGGCAGATGTCGTGCTCTTGTGGCATTGGGAAGACACTGCCATAATGTTTTCATGAATAACATTTTTACTTATTAACACACAAAGAACAAAACTACCTCTCAAGCCAGAGCTGACCGAGTATTTAATCATTGTATAATTGAAACTTCCATCCCACCTCATTCTTCTCTATCTTAAAAAGAGAATTGAACTTCTATAGGGCTAACGAATTTGTGGGATGTTTCATGAGTTAGAATAAAATTTCGATACATTTGTTTGATGCCTTATTACGATTTCACTTTGTTGCTTTGAGTTGTAAAACATTTTCTTCATAATTGAGGAGTGAAAAGAACTACCACTCAAATTTAGAAACTTCATGAAACATTGCAAGTAATATAGGTCAATTTTATATTTGTTTGGCCTTAACCCTTGCATTACGTCACATTATTGCAAGTACACCACATATTGATGTGTCGTGATTAATTTTGTAGAAACTTATATTGCTCGTCCCATTTAAGGCATGTACGGAAATATTGTGGAGCATATGGCTACTTGTATGATCATGATCTTCCTTATAACAATTACACGTGTCTTCTTTATTGTTTCCGGATCTAAGTTGAGAAAAATGAAAATTTTGCCATATAGTATTGCTCAAAATTCTTATAAAACGACGTTGAAATAGGCTTATGAAAGATTCTTGATCAACTCCTATTGAACTTTTGATTCAAATTGTTATCTGAACCCCATCCTCGATTTACCGTATTTTGTACTTCGGATTTATGAAATTATCATTGTACCCTTAAGTTGACTTTCGTTGACCGTCTCGTCGAAACGCATAGTTCTAATTTAATTAATTTATTCGTATCATACTCATCACCACGAGCGCATAGGTGCGAACGAATTCGAAATCATATTTATAACGAAGATTCTACGTTCGAAAGTTGAACATTTTTTGATATTTTGTATTTCATCTTATATGTTCTTAATTTGCGAACCAAGGGGTGATCCACCTGGGATTTTTGTCCCCTTAGCTTTTACCATATCCGGATACCTTCCCCACTCTTTTCAGAATCCGGATACCTTCCCCACTATTTTCAGATTTTCTTACTTTCCTTTTATAACTTTCTCTCTCCCCTTCACTTTTCTCTTCTTCTTGTTCCACACCCCCGAGATCTCTCTCTTTCTCTGCAAACTCTCACTCTCCTTTTTGAGTTCACTCACACTCACAACCACCCTCACCATCTAGACAGAGGAGCTTCAAAGAACCAGTGACAAGTCGTGGAATTCCACAGTGACGATTTCACTGTTCGTTTCTTTCCCCAACGAACTCCGACCACTTTTGTGAACTTTCCGACCTAGGTAAGCTTCTAGGAACCCTTGGGTTATGTTTTAAGGTTAGATTAGAGTTTGTTTTAAGTTAAACACACGTGTTAAATGCAGAAATAGCTCGGAGTAAGCTTTTCCCAGTTTTTCGGACATCATTGCCACTTTCGAGACATTTTCCGGCCAAACCACGGCGAGTTAGCCATCATGCAAGGTACCATTCTCTTCATCTCATTAAGAAATATGATTTTCATTTTTGAATCACTTGATTTGGTTGAGTATCGAAGAAGTTATGAGCGTTTGAAGTTTTGCTCAGATTCCGGCTAACCCATTACCTGAAATCGAGTCAACTCGACCAGATAACCCTAAACTCGTATCCAAACCCAACTGCTACCCGGCCCAAACCTTTGGGCCATGCTGCCGGCCCAACCTAGAGTTTCAGCCCACTAAGCTAAGCCCAAACCCAAACCTTTGGCCCAAGCCCAAAAACCAAGCTTAACGTAGATTCCAGTCTGCACATGGGTCCATGCGTGGGCCTGCACATGGGCACCTGTCTTGGCCAGCGTGTGGAGCACACGTGCCTCCACCGGAGGTAGTGTACTCCGTCACCGTCTACGATGACTTTTCTAGCCAACTTTCCGACTACCTAACTAGGCACATGGCGGTGCGTGCGACAGCACGTAAGGGTACCCGAGGTCCCCCTTTATGTTTTTTGACGTCCTGAATCCGTTTATGACATCCGTTTTCTGAAATTCAATTGTTATGGTAGAGTTTTATTAATTGCAAGGTTCTAAAAAACGCTAGACGCTAGTCGGTAGTCGGGCGACGGGTTAGCGCCTAGTGCCTAGGCGGCTAGGCGGGGTTTAGGCGGACGCCTAGACGGCCTAGTTAGATTTAGGTAAATTGCTTGTATATCTTGTAAATAAGTGCATATTGACACTTACAAAAAATCATACTTGTATGAAATTCATGGATAAGATAATAAAAGAATGATAAAATGAAAAAAAAATAAGGTTCTAAAAGACGCTAGGCACTAGTTGGATGGTGGACTGGAGCCTAGAGCCTAGGTGCCTAGGCGGACTCAACGGATTTAAGAAATTTTAATTATATATTATATAAGTTAATTAAATTTACTAAGTAAAATATAAGAAAGACATGAAAAATATGTTATTTTTTACAAAAAAAATAGTATATGTGACGTTAGAGTTTCAAGTATATAGCATGATCTGATCTTCAAAGAGACTTTCAATGTCTCAAAGATGGACTTCCCGAATAAAACAATTTAATTTAAAAAAATAAAATAATAAATATAAGATATTTTGAATGAAATTAGTGTTTAACATTTTCTTTAAACCACATGGTGACCCCTCCACCTCACCTCCCTCACATAACCCAAGGTCCCAAATTGAGACTCCCAATCCTATATCAGACATAAAATAGTGTAAAATTTTCAAAATCAACACACACCAACACATTTGACGCATTGGAAAGCGGAAAGCTTTTATTTGGGGTTTGTTTTTCGTATCCTCTTCCTCCCCTCTCACTTCTTCTTCCTCTACTTTATTTTCTTCTTTTTCGTATCCCATAAGTCTCTCTCTCTCTTATTTCCTATCAGCCCGTGAAACACAAAATCCGAGAAATCTCTCACTCCCTCTCTCTCTCTCTCTTTTCCAAAAACCTCTAGCAAAGCAACCATGGCTATCTCTCTCTCTCTTTCTCTCTCTCTCTTTTTCTAGAAACCTCTAGCAAAGCAACCATGGCTATATTCAAATGCGGACGCATATGGGAGTTTTGATGCAGATGCGGGAGTTAGAGTTGTAGATCCGATGAGAGTTCGAGACAGTAATAGCTGCAGAGCCTTCAACGCTGGCAAGAATTTCAAACTGCCTTGAGCACCACCTAGCACTGCCTTGAGCACCTAGAGCACCTAGCGAGTGCCTAGGTGGCCACCTAGATACCCACCAACTTTTGTAACGATTTCCCCAAATCGGATGCATACATGAAAAAGCATGATTTAGTGGCTACGTTTTATGAAACGTTTATAAGTAAACTGGATTTACGCTTTATGCAATATCATGCTTTACTGGACTTATGTTTACTGAGATATTTATGAATATGATTTATGAAATGATGTTTGAGCTACTAAGCTCTGATGAGATATATATTTTGGAAATATTATGTTCAATGATTTTTATGTGCTTATTCAGTGGTTACTTATACTATGTGATTACGGGCGAATGATATATATATATATATATATATATATGGCTTCGGTAGGGTGATGTAGGGGCCTACGGGCGAATGATATCTATATATGGCTTCGGTCGGGTGATGTAGGGATGATATCTATAAATGGCTTCGGTTGGGTGATGTAAGGGCCTACGGGCGAATAAAGATTTATATATGGCTTCAGTCGAATGAAGGCCTACAGGCAAATGAAGGCCTTCGGGCAATTTTGATACCACTACTAAGCACACGATATATGATACTAGCCTTTCTGCATGCGCTTATGCGCGTGCGAAAGGCTTTTTTTTACATCACGGCATGCTACGTGCGGCATCTAGAGTCATTTTTTCTTTTTACATTCACTCATGCATAAAGACATTGTTATAGTTACAATGTGCTAAGCGCAACGTACATTGTTTAATTATAAAATTTGGACTTGTCAAGAGACATTCTTTCATTTATTTTTTTATTTTTTTAGGCTAAAAAATTGTATTAACTTTTGCACCATTAGATTTAAATAAGATATTGCAAGCCTCTAAACTTGAAA